TGCTACCATCGCATTGAATGATCACTTCCTGGTGGTTCCATTTGAATTTTACTGCCTGATGCAGTGTTGATGCTACAGCCCCAGCAGCATGAATCCATGGCCGTCCCAACAGCAGGTTGTAAGATGCTGGCACATCTATCACCTGGAAATCGACATCGAACCATGTTGGTTCCATTTGCAAGCATAGAACAATCTCACCAATGGTGGACCTCTGAGAACCATCGAAAGCTTTCACATTGATAGCTCCATCTTTTATCTCGTGTAGTCCTTTACCCAACCTCTTGAGTGTTACCAGCGGACAAATGTTGAGACTGGAACCTCCGTCGATCAGGATTTTGGTGATGAAATAGTCCTCGCATTGCACGGTGATGTGCAACGCTTTGTTGTGCCCTAACCCTTCAGGTGGCAGCTCGTCCTCATGAAAGGTGATCTTATGGCTCTCCAGCACGTGTCCTACCATGTTAGCCATTTCCCCGCCAGTGATGTTGCTTGGTACGTATGCTTCACTCAGCACCTTTAAAAAGCATTCTTGTGTGCCTCAGAGTTTTGCAGCAAGGAGAGGATGGATATTTATGCTGGCGTCTTGTTTAACTGGTCAATGACCGAATACTCCTTGGCCTGTATTTTCCTCCAAAGGTCGTCTGGACCTGTCTCAATGATGGGTGGCTGGTTGGAGGCCTACTTGCTTGACTCAGCTAGATGTTCAGGGGTATAGACTCTACCAATTCTTGTCATACCCTGCGCTGCAACAGTCTCTTTGAACCTGACCTTGTCTTTCCTTCTCGCTTCGGCTGTATAGTCCCAAGGTACAACCTTTGTATGGAACGATGTCATGGTAAACATTTCCACTGGGATCGGCATGGATATCCTTACTCCGAACGGAGCATGTGCCTTGGGTGGAAAAACTGCAACCTCAAATGGTGCGGGTACATTTGCCAAAGACACGAATTCGACCTCAATTGGTGCTGGTGCCTTTGCGGATGATGTTGCTTGAAACTCAAGTGATATAGACATATTCACCTCAGCGTCCTCAGACGGTTGAATCTGGACTATGATTGGGATGAGAGTAATTATTGGCTTCTTTGGGTCATCACCTTCTGCGATCAATCCGATTGGTCCCTCGGGATCACAGTCATCTTCTATTTCAATCATGTGGATACCTCCACCCTTATAATCTGGCAGAGGCTTGTTGCGGACATTTGGAGCAGGTTCCTTTGCCACAATAATCTTGTAATCAATTAAATACTAGATCTTGTTTTTCAAAGAACGACACTCATTGATGGTGTGCCCTTTCATACCGGAGTGGTATGCACATGATTTGTTTTGATTAACCCATTGAGAAGGGTTCTCAGGGGTCGCAGTAGGGATGAGGGTGACATAACCAGTAGCTTTGAGTCTCTCATACAACTGGACAATAGGTTCGGCGATGACTGTATATTATTTTGGAGGTCTGCGATCAAAATTAGGTCGAGGTCTAGGGAAGTTTTGGCGTGCAGGAGATAATTGATAGTAGGATGGTTGAGCATTATAGGTTTGGTAAACATGTGCGGGTTGAGAGTATCTGGGTGAAGTTGGCTAATATGTAAGAGGTGGAGGTGACTGATAAGTTGGTGGTGGAGCTTGGTATGAGGGTGAAGGTGCTTGGTAATTTGGGGTTGGCTTCGTAACCATACCGCTTTTGATACCCTCTTCAATTCTTTCGCCTGGTTTGATAATGTCAGAAAATTTGTGGTTCTCGATCATCATCAGTCATTCATAATACTTCTGGTCTTGAGCCCGGACAAAGAATTTGTTCATTTTCTCCTCTTCTAAGGCATGTCTGACCTTAGCAGCTTCGGACCTCCAGTGAGTAGCATACTCGCGAAACGTCTCTGTGGGCTTCTTCTTTAGATTCTGTATATAGAACACATCTGGCGCATTCTCTGTGTCAAACCTGAACCTGTCCATAAAGTTGGATGTCATGCCTACCTAGCTTGATCACTTCTTTGGATCTTGGCTGATGTACCATTACAACGCATCTCCTTTCAAACTCCTCATGAACAGCTTCATGCGGATTCTCTCGTCTTTCCCTACTCCAACCAACTTGTCGCAGTATGTCCTAAGATGGACCCTTGGATCACCCGTACCATCAAACATTTTGAACTTAGGAGGTTTGTACCCCTCGGGCAGTTCGACATCAGGTTGTATGCAAAGATCTTAATAGTTCAGCCCCTCAATTCCTTTACTTCCTTCAACGCCCTGAATCCGACTAGTTAATCTCTTAAGTTCCTCGGCTAGGTTTCTGATAAGCAAATCCTTTTCATCAGACTCAGGTGTGCTTGATATAGGTTGGGTGGAGCGTGGCATGGTCTCTACATAGATAGGAGTGTTATGGTGGCCTGGTGTGTGGGTGTGGAAATGGTCATTTGTGGATTTATGAGGTTCTAGGATGAGTAGTGGAGTATTGTTTGGGATATAACAGGTGTTGCATTGAGTCTTTGGTGGAATAGTGTGATGGTGCGGAGCGGGATGATTCTGTTGCTTTGGGATATTTTGAGGAGGTGTAGGGTTTTGAGTGTTGGGAAAGTTGATATCTGGGGTGCTGAGGGAAAATGACAGGTTTGCCAGATTCCGAACCTGATCGAGCTCTTCTTGGAATTTCAGCAACTTCTGTTCCAGTTGTGACACATTCTTCTTAGGAACCTAAATACCATGGCCATTAGTGGCCTCTACTAGTTTAGTTGGATTCTCCTTCCTGACGTTGTTTAGATCTTCCATTTTGCTTTTGTTCTTGTTTTTGACAGGACTAAGAGGAGGAGTGGGTGGAGGGCCCCTGGATCTCGTGGAATAAGATGATGATGCCAGAGTGCACGAACTAACCTTTTGGGGAGGAGAATAATAAAAACAAAAACAATGAATAAAAACAAAAAGGTAACCAAGTTAGTGAGGATCATAAAAAGTATTGCAATATTTAAACATATAGTGCGTGAATGTAAATCGTGTCCTAATTTGGAAACCTCTTTGTGCTCGAGGTAGGCCCATAGACAAATTGGTTTGGAGAACTTAGAATGCTAAATGCCTCATTTTATTGATAAAAAATAAGACGAATCCCAAACTGACACTAAATAAACAGGAAATAAAAGTCACTAATGGCCATCGGCCTTATTACATTTATAAAGCGAAAAGATAAACTCCTATCTACTTGGTCCCAGAAGGACCTTCCCCAGATTCGGCATCCTTGGCTCCGTCGAACAGCTTCCCCAACTCGCGAAGTCCCAGCAACAGGTATGCTCTGGCTAAATGTCCGCCTTCGGTCCCTTCAGCATTTTGACAATCTTCAACCCTCTTGAGAAATTTTCTCTCCCGTTCTACTATGCCTCGCTCCAAGTATCATAGCCGCTTGTTGGCACTGACAGCCATGTCCTTCCATTCCTCAATCAGATTCTGGTTGGACTCTTGTATCTCGCGGTGTTAACTTTCATACTCACAAATCCTTTTGCGCAGCTGGTTGTACTTGGCCTGCACCTCGGCCTTTTCATCTATAATCTTGTGACCTCGACAGATGACACTTGTTCTTTCGATAGATCGTTGCCTTTTACTGCAGTGACGTAGTGGATTAAGTGATCTTCCGAGTCCGTGGTTCCATCATATATTTTCAAATATGGCGGCATTTTAAAGGTTTTCGGAATAGAGTGGGGAGCCGCCCCTTCACTGTATGGCTATTCGACAAACCGGCCTACGTCACATTTTGGTAGCAGCTTCGGAGCGCCTGGTATTTTATTGTCCCTTTTCTGATGCTCCTTCATCTGATCGCGGAGCGTTTTGTTCTCGCTCTCCATCTTTTCCATTTTCTTTAAGATGGCCGCAAGTGCATCGTTACCTGCATCAATGATAGTATGAGTGTTACCTGTGCGTGGAGGTTCTGGCTCATCGGCGGTAGTTGCGGTTTCTGCGGGTATTGTGCCTCCGATATCCCCTTGAGTGGGTTTGTCGAGTATGTTGCTCAAGGTGTTTGTCAACCACTCTTCTAATAGCCTTTTCACAGCCGGTGGTGCTTCTCTTGCTGCGGATGTTGAGGTTTCCCTCTCGCGCGAGATAGTCACGCCTTCGTGCGGGAGGGGGGGGGGGTGAGATCTCTCCCTCAGGTGTAGCACTTGGCGTTGTGTTTTCATTGTCTTCCCTACCGGCTTCGTTGAGGGAATGCAGAAGGTTGTTCGTGACACCTACTATTGCCTTTAATCTTGCTTCTCCCTTTCTTGCCATTGTTGGCCTTCGCGAGGCTAAGAAGAGGTGATTATTTCTTTCAAGGATCTAGACGAAACTAAGATCTCAGCTATAGAAATCCCCACAGACGGCGCCAAGTTGTTTGCCTCAAAAGATATTGAGATCTTTTTGAATAAATCAGTTTAAGGAAATGAAGGAGTAAATCTTAGCTAACTATAATAATCTCTAGAACAAAGAAACACAAGGTGAACACAGAAGGCTATATTTCTTGACCTTATCAAGATGAATCCTCAAACAATAATGACATCAATTGCTTATGTAAGCAAGTATCACAACAAGTGTTCTTAGTTGGAAAAATACAGAAGAAGCCCCTTACAAGGTTGTCTTTACGCAATATATATAAGGGACAAACCACTTCTAAGCCCTAAAAGACAAATCATAGAAAATATTCGAAAGAATATTCCTAATGCCCCCGAATGGACCTACACTACTGCAAAGGTCGTACAGTCTCTTGTTCGCTCGTCTGTCATCCCTTGCAGGATGTCGAGCTACGAGGATCTTGTCACTTGTCGTACTCATCAACAGTCGTGGTCGTCCAAATTTGGACCCATACAGTAATCACATTTGAAAATCGATAACCCATAAGCAGTGTGTAAACCCATTATTTATGGCCGACTCATAATAAAAAGGAAAAAAAAACATGGATGTTAAAATTTACAGAGGTAAAATTACTGGTACGTGAACGCAAGTAAATTGAAAGCTTAAAGGTAAAAGCAACATTGTGTTCACTTATTTTAGTTATTGCAAGGGTTTAAGGTTTCCCTCCTCCTCCAATGTCAGTGAGGGTTTAGCAATCCAAACAAAAGACCATGGTTCTCTCTCGTCTTCTCCTCAGGCGCTTATCTTCATCCTATAAACCCTATCTTATCACTACCTTCTCACAAACAAAACCCTTCTCTTCAGATTCCACCCCCAACCCCACCGCATCCTCTAAACCTTCTTCTTTGTCAGCTCGCATGAGCTTCGTATTCGACCAAATCGACGCCATTGAAAAAGAACGGGCGGAAAAGGACCAAACCCTTCAACGTATTCGGGCCTGGCGTGAATCCAAAAAGCCCAAAGACCAAAACCAAGAGCCGGTAGGTCCAAGCTCGGACTTTTCTGATGTGGGGTCATCGGAAATGGAGAAGAATGATGGGTTTGGTGGTGGGTTGATGAGTAAGAAGGTGGAAGTGGTGCATCCGTGGCCCGAGTGGATCGAGTTAATGGAGCGTTTGGTTCAGCAAAATTACTTTGATCATAAGAGAAAAGACGAGGATAAATTGATTGAGGATTTGGGGTTTAATGTAGCTGAGGTTGCTGAAGATGAGGGTTTTGATTTTACAAGGGATTGGAAGACTGTTCAGACTGCTGTTCTTAATTTTGGCAAAGATCGTTTCGATATATTGAGGTCTGCTTTTGAATAAGGAACGCTTTTTTAATAATTTTTTCGTCCCATTTTTGCATGCTCGGATTAAACTTTTGGCAATTAGATGAATTCAATTGAGCTGCATTGTACTTGTTGTCATAGTATTGACTGGCCGATCGTCGTGAAGCTTAGAAATGATGGTGTTCATATTTTCCCTTTATTTCAAGTTTACCTTAGGTAGCTATGTTAGTAAGTTAATTGACTCTTACTATTGAAGAGTTCTTGCTCTCTTCTTATATTAGTATACCGTGAGAAGTACTTGTAAGTTGTGATAGATGAATGAGATCCATAGTTGGTTGCGAATATACACAATTGTTTTGTTTTTTGATAGCAAGCTGTGAGTCTAGTTAATTAACTTATGCAGTTTCCGCTGTTCCTTTCTTTTTTATGATAATTATACATAGCGGGAAGCAGAGGGGAAAATGGGGGACGGGATTACTAGATGGCGAATCGATTCCTTACATGTTGGAGGTTTAGGCAGCCCGCCAAGTGACCCACAGTGAGTTTTCACTGTTCTTTCAAAAGCATTTGATATGGTAATTAACCAGAGTAGATTGTTTTTGTTTATTGTCCAAAAGGAAGCGATGACTTTTTATTTGATTACCATCACCTTTTGTCGGCCCTGCCTACGCTTGAGCTCAGCAGGTATTGAGGTGACATCTCCTCCAAATTAGGGCTCTAGGGTTTAGCTGTTTGTTAAAGGACAATGAAGTGAGACCTTTCAGTGACATTTTTCAGCTCTGTGTCGCTGGATTTAGAGGCAAAATTTGAAGTAAAGAATTAAGGGGAGTGATTATAAAGAGTACCACGATGTTCTAGTAACAAACAATAACTCTTGATGCATAGAGTGATTAATTGATTTCAGGTCATTGTCGAGACAGGATCTCCAAATTTTGGTTGGTTATGGATGTCCTAGTGCAGACAAGAAGGTGGTTTTTTCCGCCAAGTTATTGAGGAAACACGTCCATCTGGACGAAGGAGATGTAAGTTTGGATTCTGTTGTAAAATGTTTTTCATGCCTTATCAGAAGTTCTGTTATTGATTCTTCTAGAAATCTGTTTTTTTTTCATTCCCATTTTCTTGTATTTACTTCTTGTTGTGCGCTCAATTTAATTTTCTTGCTATATGTGAAGTCTTGATAGGATTTGGCATGTGATGGAGGAAGTTCACTGTTCTTGTCGTTTCGTGCATTTGCTGAAAAAACATTTTCTATTTTAATCTTCTTGTTATTGAAATGCTTTAAGATCTCCTCTTGGTACATTGCTTTCAGAAAGTGATAAAACTTGAAACTTTGCAGCACAAGATTTTGTTGTTGAATTTTAAGCTTCTATAGTTTTTAGAAAGCAGCAGGCTCTAGCTGTCACCCGTAATACTTTGTAAGCAGCCTATGGAGTGGCAATTTACATGAAGAAAGTATATACGTTAGAGACATAATTTACTAAACAATAGTGTTCATTCTTGAGGGGTTCACACTATTTAATATAGTATTGTAGTAGGCATAGGTCTAGAATTTGAGTCTCATTGCCTTCTTCCATCAAAACATCTCCACGTTCTTGGCCCATGACACGAGGGGGTTGTTTTTTTCCTTAAAGTAAATAACTATATTAATATGGGAATGTTCCATGTACAAGCAATATACCAGAAGGTAGAGAGCCTCTATCGAAACTGGTTCTCTAAGAAACACCCAATTTTCTATACAATAGGAACCTCATGGCTGCACCAAAAAGAAACTAGAAACAAGAGGTTATTCCTCAAATGTGCAAGGGCGTTTTCTGCCACGTCAAAGGATCTTCTATTAACTAAATAAAAGCATTCATTTTCTAGCAGATTAAGCTTTTTATACTAGGCGGTTACTCAAGTCAACATTATATTAGCTTAAGATTTGTAAAGAAAAATCAAGTTTTTCACTTGACTCACATATAAAGATGGTTTCAGATTAGCTGAACTATTGGTAATGTTTGTCTTGGACTTGGGAGTGCGTGACATTGCATTCTTTAAGCATCTGAAGATTACCACCTTATTAGGACATAACATGGCATGAATCAGTGTAGGGAAGCTTTAAAAAGGCTAAAGTAGGTGAACATTATTCTTTCGCAAGGTGAATATTCACTAATGATGAATTCATGATTTATTGAGTTTATGGATCTGGGCATTTGCTAGNTCTTTCGCAAGGTGAATATTCACTAATGATGAATTCATGATTTATTGAGCTTACTATGGATCTGGGCATTTGCTAGCTGTATTTTTCAATGACCAATCCAACTTATCGCATGATTGTATCAGGTTTGCAGTTCTTGCAATTTGAGGAGTTCTTGTGAAAGGGCATATTTACTTACCAATAAGGAGGATGAAGCAAGGACAATTGATGTCATGCGTGTCCTACTGACTTATGGTTTTGATGCAATTAATGGATCCGTTGTTAATGAGAGCCTTACGAAGAAGAAATCTGTGAAGACTGTTGTTCGTAAACTGCTTCACGAAGTAGTCAAGTTGAGTGCTGTTCCAATAGATCCAAATCTTCCACCTCCAATTTTTAAAAAACCACCTCCAAAGGTGAAGCAGCCACCTCCCCCTCCGAAGAAACGAGTAGGACGTGACGACATTGAGATGAAAAAAGGAGATTGGCTGTGTCCAAAGTAGGTTTCATTTCTTTTCTTCTGCACTAAGTCTGCTATCATGGTCAAAGTGAAAAGCGTTAAAAAGCGCTCCTGGTCTATCGGACTTTAAGCGCAAAGCGCAGTGAACATATGGGCTTTAGTTAAAAAGGCGCAACGAAGAAAAAAGCAAAAACATGTACTTAAGACGAAAAAGAATAATAACTTCATTCATAATGATTTCCTTAACAATTAATATATCTTTTTGCAAATCATATTTATTGTTTAGTACCACTCTATTCAAGATGGAACTTATCAACAATGAGGTACATGCCTTAGTGTCTTGCCTGCATTAAAGCGCATCCTAAGTGAAGCGAAGCGCCTGCCTTGAGATTCTCCGAGCTTCAGGGCTAAAGCGCGCCTCAAATGAGCCTTTGACAATCTTCTTTGGCAATCTACAAAGCAATGCAAGGCTTCACCTTGAATGNTGGATACATTGCTAACAGCAAGCTACACTGTCAGGTGTGACTTCATGAATTTCGCGAAGAATACCATATGCTTACAATGTGATGCCAACCGGCCAAAGAGACAGCTGCTTCCAGGAGAGTGGGAATGTCCCCAGTATGTCCTCTTTTTGCCTTTTCTTATTAAGTCTTCCTATTTTCTTCTGACATGAGTATATTGTTGAATTCTGCAGCAATATGTTAAATTAGGCAGGCATTTACTTTTGCTGTATTTATTTAAGCACCGTAATAAATAATAATAGATGCCTAGGTTGAGGCTTGAATCTAGTAGCAGTGGCTACTTTAGCAAGTTCATCCAGATGAGGAGGACATCTAAGAAGCAACTTTAGTCGTCTCTTCATTGTACAACTGCTAATCTCCTTTCTGCCTGGACCAAGCTGCAAATTCTGTTTATGATTGCATGGATGCCCGATTAAACTTGTACATTTGTTTACATGCTCGTTGAAGTTAGCAGATATCTATTTGTGTGAATGTTTGGGAAAACTTTGTTGAAAGACTTCTTTTACCTGAAGCTTTCACTTTCTAATATATTTCTTGTATATTTGTTTACCCTTTTTGTGGCAATGACAAAAATGGTTATTTCCTTTTATCAATTGGCAGGTGCAATTTCTTGAATTATAGGAGAAATGTGGTGTGTTTTCATTGTGAATGCAAGCGCCCAGCTGATGACTATATGGTCACTCAACAGCAGGAGAGGCAACATGGACCCAGGATGCAGATGGACAAGGTATCTCGCCGGCAAGATGTTTCTAATGCATGGAATTTTGATTTTGATGATGATGAATCGGATGGCGCGGACGTTGCTACCTTCGAGCATGCAGATTCTCAGAAATTGGATGAAGACTTTCCCCTAGATAGGCGAGAACAAAGAGATACTTCTAGGGACAATGAAGATGGTTTCTACAAGAGCAGCAGGCCTCCAAAAGGTTATGAAACTGAATACCCTGCACCTGGGAAACCAGGGGTAGGATTTAACGATTTTGATGATGAAGACGACGACGATGTTGACAGTTATGAGATAGAGAGTAATGGAACAAACAGAAGTTCTCGAATAGATTTCTCGGATATTGAGGTCAACTCCGAATCTGAAGACATTGATAATGCTGATAGCATTTTGCCTGTTGGTGGTAGGAACAGTTCCCTCACAAGTGATGCACATTTTAGATCGAGACATCAGCAAGGGGCTTTTCGTGGTTCTGAGGATGCTGAAGTGGATTTTGACACAGATGATGACCTTCCAATTAAAACTAATGGGAAATCTAATCAGGCTTCTTATTTTAAACCAAGATCTAGGAACAAAGGTGCCATGAGTTTTGTCTCAGAGAATGATGGCCTCAGCTCTGACTCCGATGATGAGGATTTTACAAGTCGGCAGAATAAAGGGAATAAATGGGGATCAAGAAGGGATTTTGGAAGGAGAAGCAGCTCCTACAGTGAAGATGAGCCCTCCTCTGACTTGGAGAGCAACAATGGTAGGTCATTTAACAAAAATAGACAAAGAGGTGGTAAGGCAGGTCAAAATGGCAGATGGGACTCATCTGAAGGTCGTGGTGATAGGATGAGAGACAAAAGAACCTCTTTTAAGGATAACTCGAAAAGAACTTCCAGAGACTCACGTGGCAGCAGCAGGAGAAGCCAAGATAATGGATATAATGATTACAAAAGCCGTGGGCGTGAAGAATCTTATAAACAGCAACGAGGAAGAAACAATAATTATGGTGATCGATCAGATAGTTACTTAGACGATGAAAGACATAGGAGGCCTAGAATAAATGTACGATAAGTCCCAACATACAGCTTATCATTTCAAGAGTTGGTTGGCTGTGCAGGAATAGCACTGTGAGTCTCCGAGTGTGGAAATGGGATTCATTTCCTCCTCAGGAAGGGCTTTCCAGAAGTCAGAAACATCATGCCAACTTCTGAATAACCATCGTCACTTAAGCTTGAGAGCTAGAAGGAAGTGTTTCAGTGACTGTGTATACGAAGTTGACTGGCGGAAGCTTCATACAGATAAGCTAACCAGGAACAAGTAAATGATACCCAGGCGACAACTTCCTTGTACCCACCCTATGCTTGACCGGCAAAGCTGCAGTATCCTCAATCTTCTTTCATTTAGTTCAGCTGATGATAAGATCTACGCGTTGTAACTATAGATAGTTTTTCTGTTAACAATAATTTGCTAAGTATTGATATAATGATATTAGTCCCCGTTCGTACGCAGAGAGTATCCTCCAGAATTACACCTGATTAATGCAATTCTTATCTATCTGGTTGCCTAAGTCCTATGATATCTTTCATAAGCAATTTTCTTCAAAAAATATAATATACTATAAATTTTAAAAGACAGATAAGGACATGACGTAATATTACATTATTCAAGCAAATTGTGTTTGTGCAAGTTAAAACACACAGAGAGAGAGAGAGAGAAACTCGAACATAACAAAGCTCATCGTTTTTATTTTATATACACAATCACAGCCATATCTTCACTACAACAAAATCAAACTTGTAGAGACAATACAGACATCAAACAGCAAGAACAAGAAAAAAAAAAAAAAAAGATAATAGCAGAAACAGTTATTAGCTGGTTGCAAAAATACCATGGAAATTAAGTCCTTCTGACGCTAAATCCTTTTCAAGCAATTCATAAAAGCCGAACAGCACCTGATAATTCTTTCTCCAACTTCCTCCAAGAAATGGAAGAAGCAGTATCCCCACGACTTCTTTATCATTAAGCTGCTGAATGTCGCCAAAAACGCTACAACAAATCCCACTGCCACGCTCACAAAAAAACATAGCCTTATTTCATGCTCATCATAATCGCCGTCTTCAATTATCTTTTTCGTTCCTTTTTTCCCGGGTGGAGAGCATTCTGTAATCAATGGTTTCCCACAAAGTTTTGGATTACCTTCAAAACATGAAGGATCAGTAAAGGTTCCGAATTGGTATGTTGTTGGTATAGGGCCATGCAGGTTGTTATATGACAAGTTAAGATGACTCAATGAGGTGATGAAAGTCATGCTCACTGGGATAGAACCTGAAAGATTGTTAGAGGAAATGTCTAGTGTCTCCAATTTCTGCATGCTCCCTATGTCCTCTGGAATTCTTCCTGATAATTGGTTGCAAGATAAATTTAATGTGCCCAAGGCTGAGAGACCTGTAATCTCATTCGGGATTTCACCATGAAGATTGTTGCAGGAAAGATCAATAAGATTCACCTGATCTAAAGTAAAGGTGTATGTCATCGTTGTTCCTTTCTTAACCAACTTCATTTTGGGTGTAAAAACATAGTTGAAATAGCCATAGTTGGGAAACCACTTGTAAAATTTCACAGACTTAAGAGCTCTCAAGCTTCCCAGGCAGGAAGGAATAGAACCTGTCAAATTATTATGTGAAAGATCAAGAATATGGAGTCCAGAAAGTTGGCATAGTTGTGCTGGAATGTTTCCATGAATCATATTACTACTCATTCTAAGCTTTTGCAAAGATAATAGGCTTTTTCCGAACCACTCTGGTATCGTGCCATTGATTTTGTTCTCTCCAATGTCAAGTGTAAACAAGCTTTTGCAATTGCTTAACGATTTTGGAAATTCTCCAGAAAGGTTATTGCGACTCAATCTCAACCAAAAAAGTGAAGGTGGTGAACATATTGAAGGAGGAATACTACCTGAAAGATTGTTTCCTGACAAATCTATGACCTGAAGTTGTTGCAAATCATACCACCAATCAGGGATCTTTCCAGACAAATGATTGTCTGTAAGGTCCAATCTCGATAGCCGCTTCACTCTAGCTATGGAATATGGTATAGATCCAGTAAAAGCATTTCCCGAAAGATCTAAGACCTTGAGTTTTTTCATCACGTGACCAATGTTTAAGGGGATAGATCCTGAAAACAAGTTGTTTGCAAGATTCAAATGTGTCACATTTGGCCAAAGAGGTAACAAACCATGGAATTGATTGGAGCTTAAGTCCACCACAACACCATAATAGTAACTGAAATAGAAATCCAGTACTGTCCAGCTTGAGATTGTTGGAAAATTTACTGACCTAGGAAGAGTTCCACCAATCTGATTATCCGATAGATCGAGCCATTGCAATTGTGAGCACAGAGTCCAAAGCCAAGGAGGTATAGGATCTGAAATGGAGTTATTAGAGAGAACAACAAACTCAAGTTGCTTTTGAGTTTCCAGCCATATCGGGAACTTGGGACCCAAATTGCAACTTCTAAGCTCGATACTGGTGAGGCTAAATGGAGGAACCCATTCATCGGTCAAGTTGACTGCAAATCTTTTTCCACATGATAAAGATAAAAGTTTCAGTTGATGGAGTTTTGCAAAGTGATTTTGTGAAAGATTTCCTTCTAAAGCGTTTGTTGCAAGGCGCAACTCAGTTAGTCCAGAAAAACTAAAAATACTCTCAGGTATGGCTCCCTTTAACTGATTCTCTCCCAAGTGCAAACTTTCCAACCGCGAAAGCTGTTCAATAGATGTTGGAATCGTGCCTGATATCGGGTTAATAGAAATAGTAAGAATCCTTAACTTCTTCAAATAGCCTAACGAATTTGGCAGTTGTCCTGTCAACACGTTATCCCCAAGACGTATGACCTCTATGGTTGTGTTGCTGCAGCTGGACAATCCTTCCACTACTCGACTAATGTCTCCGTTAAGTTTATTGTGCATTAGATACAACTCCCTCAGATTACAGAGTTTACCCCACTCAACATTTGATATGGAGCCTTCAATGTCATTGTATCTAACATAAAGTGTCTCAATCGCGGTAGCATTAGACAACCATTTAGGCAACACAGCATTAACAAACTTATTCTGTGAAAGGGAGAGATGAGAAAGAGAAGTCATATTCCAGTTGGGGAAGGAATAAGGGAGATAGTTAAGACTACTATTTTGCAAACGTAGTGTCACTAAAGATGGCAGCTTATTAAAATCCTCAAGCCAGTTTGTTGCCAAAGAAAGGTCTATAAAAGAAAGATCAAGATAACTCAAAGAAGACAGACCTGAAACCCAACTCAAATCTTTGATCCAACTACTGTCAACAGTATCGTAAGGATACGAATATGCATAAAGGTCTAAATAGCGCAAACTTGATAAATTTCCAAATGAAGGAGGAATACCAATAAGGGATGAATGACTGAGGTTAAGATATTGTAAATTTTCAAGAGAACCCAAGAAACTGGGAGTGGAAAGTCCTTGGAAATCATTGCCACCAAAGTCTAAATATTCCAAGTGTTGCAAGTCTTGTAATGCAGGACTTATGTTGCCACCCAAACATGATGATGAATTTCCAGAAATAAAATAGCCCTTTTTCTTCCTAATGCAATTGCCTGATTTATCATTGAGATCAAGACTAATGACATTACCAGTTTGTTTGTCACAGAAAACACCTTTCCAGTTGCAGCATTCTGTGCCAACCCAAGAAGCCAGTCGGTCAGATGGATCTATGAGCTTCTGTTTGAATGTTAAAAGAGCTTTCCTCTCACTCTCAACACATCTCACTTTGATTTCGATAGTGTTTTTGAGTGGTAAAGATGCAGCTTTAGTGGCTTCAGCTGGTACAAGTAGAGGAATGGATTGAAGAAAGAAAACAAGTATGGCAACTAAAAGTTGCCAAAATGCCATTTTGAGATAAACTTATTATTCTAATAGAGATGGTAAGTTCAAAGTATATTGCCTTTTGTTTTTGGGGTCTGTTTATATGGAAAGACAAAAGGGCAGCCTGGTGCACTAAGCTCCCGCTATGCGCGGGGTTCGGGGAAGGACCGGACCACAAAGGTCTATTGTACGCAGCCTTACCCTGCATTTCTTCAAAAGATTGTTTTCACGGCTCGAACGGAATAATAATCGCAACAATGTCACTCTCAAAATTTGAGATGTATTTATTATGCTTAGTTCATTCCCTAGCTATGTTCCTGGGATTCTTCAAAAATGATGCCGGGTGCGTGTCGGATCCTCCAAAAATAGTGCAACAATATTTTGAAGAGTCCGCACAACATAGTTGTCAAGTCGAGAAGGCATGCACTATTTCTGGCCACTAGTTCAACATTATTTTGATTAATTTAACTTACTGATAAATGAAATTTATTCGTGAATTTGGAAGACGCGTAAACTCTTGATTTATCTGAAGATTCAAAATGCTAAGTCTTTAACATGCATGGGAGTTGGGAGTTGGGAGTTGGGACATTATATATGGATATTAGACAGCAGAAGTTGAGGGTAATATTATTTTACTTTTTTTTTTAATTACATAAGGAAAAGGAGAAGTGGAAGTGAAAGTGAGAATTAACTGAAACCACACAAATCGTGAAAGACTTTCATGACCAGTATCACTAGACTATATCAGTGCTTAACCCTGAAGCCATAAGCTGGTCAAATCAATTTTCTCGCTTTTGTAGTGTTTGACAAAGTTATAAAGTACTTAAAGTAAGTTAAAATTTGCTTAAAACAAGTCAAAAACAATAAGTTGGGTAAACTCAACTTGTTACTTTTTTGCTTAAAAGTTATTTTTATTGAAAAATCACTTTTTAAAGCCAATTCAAACGGACTCTAAAGCAGTGGCTTTAGGCCCCCAAAAATGAATTGTTTGGCTTTAATCGTTTGTTGTCAATTTTTAACCAATCATTATTTGTCGATTTTTAAAGTTTATACTCCCTTTTTAAAATATAATTATAATTATAGTTGAAAGTTGTAGACTATTAAATTTGTAGCTACTTCCTATTTTTTTGTTTTTTTTTTGTTACCTCACCCATGACGGGTGGGCTCGATTTCTTAATTTGTCGTCTAAGAAGAATTAACTCAAATAGTCATCCACTTAATCTCTTAAACTATAAATAGCCGAAGAATGTATAATTTATGTGTAATTCATGTGTAATATATGTATACTTGCATATAATCAATAAATAATCTGTATATTCCGGTTAAAAAAAGTAATCAATATATAATCTGACTGGCTATTTGTGTAACAATCCCGAGTTAGACTTCAACTTGAATCAATTTTGTCAATTACTATGATTTTGTAGAATCTTCTTTTATTCTTTAAGTGCTTTTTAGACAATTTTTCGAACAAATTATCAAAGGATTAGATGTGAAAAGGTATTTCTCAACCTTGAATGTCTTTAAAGACTTCTTTTTAGATTTTGGCTTTAGGCCACACGTGGTGTTGAGCCGCCTCTCGACTATATAAGTTTTGATGGTTGGAATTAGATCGTCTATGTTCATGGAGCTTTTCATTTTGGTTTCTTGGCTTCTTTTTAATCTGCATTCAATTAAGTTGCCAATTTTAAATCTTATACTCCCCTTGGCATAGACAACATGGTTGAGACTCGTATTAAAACTTTTAAGGTCTATTGCTTCCACGAATTTTGTAAGGTTTACTGCTTTAATTAACATGGCTAATTTGCTCATGATAGGAAAAGGAATAAAATGAAGTGGAGCCTTGGAACAACGGTAAAATTATCTCCGTGCGACTTATAGATTATGGGTTAAAGCGGCTACTAATGCTTGTATTAGGGTATGTTGTCTACATCACATCCTTCAGGGTGCGACCCTTCCCTGATCCCTATATTAACGCGGGATGCATTGGACACCCAGCTAACTTCTTCTTTTATTTTTTTTATTTTTTTTAGTAAAAGGAACAAAACAGGGTCTTAAAGGGGTGGGTTGGGGGTGGTTGGAATAGAAAGAGTCCATAACTTGATTTTTAGTCGGTATAACTTCTCTGAGTTTATTTGTCAGTAAAATATCTTTTCCTTCAGAGATTGAATTGAAAGTACAGTTAATGTTTTGAAAGGTTATAGGTCTGGATCATTTACATGGACCTACATTATATTCCATTTATTTTAGGGAAAATACATAAAATGCATTATGTATTTGTCTGGAAAAAATTAGTTTCACACTTAACCTTTACGGGCATTCTATTACCTCCATATACTCAGTCCAAAGTGAATTTAATACTAGCCTGTGATGTGTAATATTACTCTCATGGGGTGAGGTGCTCCACACGCACATGCCATGTTAGCGCTAGGGGTGTACATGGACCAGGTTGGTTCGATTTTTATCAAAATCAAACCAAACCAACTATAACTTGAATTGGTTCGGTTTTATCGGGTTTTTTGAGGTTTTTTGTTACTNATATATATATATATATATATAGTAAAAATATAAAAAATTGACAAACATATTATCAATTAAGAAATTCTTATAGGAGAGTTTTCTTAATAGCACATGATAGTTATTTTTTAGTCATCAGACGATAATTGTTCGTTGATGTACACTTTCAAGGTGAACCGAATTTAGTAACTAAACATAAAAATTACTATGATACCTAAATAATAATAATCACTTCACATTTGAAAAAGATATAAAAATTTAATAGATCTTAACATATGATATAAATATGTAACAAAGAGATTGATGCATTTCAGTAACACTTGATAAGAAAGTGATCATACAACCCATTATTCAAGGTTAATGAATATGGAGCACTTCATATTCTATTAAATATTATATCCCGCAAGAGAATCTCAAATATATCTAGACATTTTTAAAGAAATTTTATATAAAATCTTAAAAGTATATATAAAATTTATATATTTATGGGTCTCTATATTTATATATCAGTTTGGTTCGGATTTTTACTCAATACCAAACCAAACCAAATCAAATCAAACCTAATCGGATTTTTAATCGGTTTGATTGGATTTTTCGGTTTGGTGCAGTTTATCGGTTCGATTTGTACACCCCTAATTAGTGCCATGTCAGCATTGGGTCAAAAATATAATAAATTTATGCTTTTTACTATTTTTTTCTTCTTTCTTTAACATTTTTCTTTTTTCTTTTTCTTCGATACCCAATACAACCTCCATTATAGCTAAAATTTGTGGCGTTCAAATTGGTTTTAGCTAAAGTCAAAGAAAACCCTCTCATCAATTCACGAACCCAGCCATCAAAACATAGAATCTTAGGTCTAATCTTATGTTTACCGATTCAAATTTAAAAACTTGGGTGCTTTTTAATGGAGGACATTGATTGGCGCGAAGAAAAATTATATTTTAGAAATTAATTTAATATACAATAAAAATTAAAAGAATTGGTGATGAAGAAAAAAGGGTTGGGGGTGTGAGGATGAAGAAAAAAAAAAGGAAGACAAGAAAATTAGGTCTTAGGAGAGGTGGGTGTGAAATTGAAGAAGAAGGGAGGAAGTGTTTAGGGGGGGGGGGGGTCCAAGAAAGTTTATTCTTGCAAAAAAATAAAATTTAAAATTTAAAGACTAATAAAATGCGATTTATTTTATTTTTATTTTATATTTTTGCCATATTAGCTTTTGGGCAGGTATTAAATTCTCTTTGGACAACTATATGAAGGTAATGGGACGCCCGTAAAAATTAAGTGTGAAACTAATTTTTTAGGACAAGTACATGATACATCCTATATATTTTCTCTTTATTTTATTTCTATAGGCAAAAAGAAGAATAAAATAAAGTGATTACAATTCAAGTGGGGCTTTTTTGGAGTTTTTTAATTTGACAAGAATTTCTAAGTTGAAGTTTGGTTGTTATACTTGTCTTAGAATTTCTCTTTTTCAAATGATAGAAAGGATGATAGCAGCTGCTTCTATCAATGAACCTTTGATGTGGACTATGGCCTTCTATATTCCCTTGTCAAAATTCATGACACATGACAAGACTTGTGTAAAAAGACACCCTAATTAGTCAAATCTTCAATTTGATTTTCAACAATGATTTTTGGTTTGCACTTCGTTGTTTGATACCTACGTAAAATCTAAATTCACGCTGAAAAGTTTTACATTAGAGGGTAAAACGCTCTCTAAAAAGACAATTTCATACTCAGGACTCAACCCTAATATTTGTAATTCATTTGATTTTCAACACTTTTAAAAGTATAATTAATTTATATAATATTTTTGAAAACTTGGAGTCCAATAAAAAGTCGTATAGTTTTGAAATTAAAGGCAAACAACATTTATCCTAAACAACAACAACAACACAGTATAATTCCACAACAATAATATTTATCCTAAAATGGTATCAAATTTATTTTGAAGTATGTAATGCCATAAAGCAGGCTGCGAAGTAGAAATTTCTTTCATATCAACAAAAGGATAATAATTGAAATTTGAAGTTAACATTTCAAAATTTTGAAAGTCGGGAACTAAAGCTAAACAAAATCAAATTAATACAATTACTGCTAACTCAACACAAAGGAGAAAAAGAGGACTTGCTTTTCTCTTTAAAGCTAAAGAATCAGTGCTTTCTCTTTTCATATTCGTGTGTTTGTTTCCACGCCAGGAACTTGACTTTGGTTGGTAAGGAATCCTGTTCAACTTTGTTCACTATTGTGGACATTGGCCCCACGTATTGCTTTTTTTCCCCCGCTAAATGACAGAAATAGCTCCTTAATACTTCGGGCGTTAGAATGCTTCTAAATAATTTTAGTGTTTCTAAAAGTAAAATACACTAAGAAACTTGTGTAACAGCTCGCTAGTGATATTGTCCGCTTTGAGCCTAGACCCTCATGAGTTTAAAACGCATCACTATGGTCTAACTCGAGAGAAGAACAAAATGACAAATGTCATCCTTTTTTCATTCATATATAGCTATTTT